TTGGTGTGTAGATAAAATTAGGGAAGCTATAAATGTCTTTAACTATGAGCTAAAAAGGCATAGCTCTTGTTAATCTAAACAAGAAACTGAATGCAGGGTGTTTAAAGCAGGCATTTTGTTTCATTCATTTATTTGGCAGTTACATGAGACACTCTGAAGCACTCTGAATCTGCTCTGAAGCACAGAAAAGCTTTTTAATCAAAATCAACATAACACAGAAAATATGTGATTCTGTAACCATACTTAAACATAAAGTCACTGCATTGTGTCACCATACATTGCATGTTGTAGATCTTGTGTATTACCATTTTAATGTCACAATGATGACATTTTAATGACATTTTTCTAACCTACAAAGCCCTCAACAACCTAGCTCCATCTTAAATCGTCCCATATTTTCCCATCAGAGCACTTCATTCTCAGACTGCAGGCTTACTTGCGGTTCCTAGAGTTTCCAAAAGCAGAATGGGAGGAAGATCTTTCAGTTATCAGGCTCCTCTCTTGTGGAACCAAGTTCCAGTTTCTCTCCGTGAGGCTGACACATTGTCCAGTTTAAAGACTGGGATTAAGACTTTACTTTTTAATCAATCCTATAGTTAGGGTTGGCTTGTTATGCTGCTATAGGCTTAGACTACTGGAGGACAAATTGACCACATTTCTTAAAATGAATTGTTAAAACTGAATAATTTTCATTTGATACTATTTCTATCTTAACGTGATTCTTGACCTGCCATTGTGTATCTGTTCCAGTGTTGCCAGATTGGGTGGTTTACTACCAATTGGGCTGCTTTAATTCTGATTTTGCTGGGAACTCTGGGAAGATTTTTGTTGGATTGATGTGTTTTGCCATATATTGTTAAATTACCTTTGCTTGTACTGATGCATATTCATGTTCAAACAGTAACTATACAGTAACAATATATTAATCGGGTGGATTTTTGTGTGATGCGGCATTTTTTTAACAGATTTTTGGGCTGAAAAATCTCGACTCTATCTGGCAACACTGAGAAGCAGATGGCCACTTGTCCTGAGCCTGGTTCTGCTAAAGGTTTCTTCCTCACGAGAGAGTTTTTCCTTTCCACTGTCGCCTTCATGCTTGCTCAAGATGAGAGTCTCCAATGAAGTTAAATTCAAAGCATTCTGCTCCTTACATAAATAATGTTTTAACATTTTTATTTATTTGAATGTTTCTGTTCAGCGCCTTGAGATGACTTCTGTTGTGACTTGGCGCTTTATAAATAAACTGAATTGAACTGAATTAATGTCATTACTGTATGTTCATATTTGATAGAAAATTCAAATACAGTACTGCTCAGGACTTTTATACCACAGTCCTAATTAACTGTCCCTTCAAATACATTTTAAAAATAAATTAAACAAGGGAATTCTTATTGGCAGAGAAAAAGTACAGGCATATGAAGCCTTTATACTAGCAGAAGGTTCAGCCACACATGGTTAGAGGTTCACAAGTTCGACTTCATCCACCACCAGGAACCATAAATGTCTGAACAAAATCTATAAAAAGAGCTTCTCAAAACTTCTACATTAATCTTCTGTTTCCAGTTCAGCAGGTTATCAGCCCTGATCAGGCTACAAATGTAACAAATGTGGTCCAGATAAGAAAAATACACCCAGGACAGAAAGTCAACATAGTTCACATAATGTCTCCTGTCACTACGTGTTGACATTGTTTAGTTTATGACGATCTCTGACTCCACTTCTCTGTGATTCACTGGCTACATCTGCTTCTCTTTTTGGATACACGAACACTGTATATTTTTATGATCTGTGTGCTGCATTCATGTGATTGTCCATTAAACTAAAACTGTAGTAACTGCAGTGAAAATATAGCAGTGTTACACGGCCCAAACTTTCATGGTCAATGCACAAACAGAAACAAAAAAAAAAACACCCAAAGAACCTCATGTATTTTTCAAAGCAGCCTTCTGGTTTTCCTTTCTCAAAATGCAGCTTAAAGCAAATCAAAACCCTTCACATGTTGGAATCACATTAAATTATCAAGAAATAAGGATATAAAATGACAAAAACATTAAACATGAATGAGTAAACCTAAAGTAATTTTTAAAGAACCCATCACGAAAGTTGGTGTACTTGTCAATTCAGATGGGTTGTATATAAATGGGAGTAAGAAGAACGAGTTTCAAAGATGTGACTAAAATGAGCTGAGCACAATAGAAAGAACAACAGGAGAGGAACAATCACAGCACAATACAAAAATAACAAAATGATGATTTTGATTGTAAGCTTCCTGTCTCATCAGCTCAGTTTCTTTGCTTAGACACAGCCACGTAATGCCCTGAAACTTCAGGCAAACGGGACAGTTTAGATCTTTAAACGATTAACATCTTACCTGTCATAGAAAATACTTTCAGTCAAAGTTGTTTTCTTTTTTATATAACTCTAATCTTGAAAAAAAATGCATAGCATTTCATGCAAACAGTCCTTTATATAATCAGTTATACTTTATATTGTTCTTCATGCAGAAAGTTGATGATATTCCTACAGGAGCTGTCCCAGTCTGCACTGGAAGTGCTACAGCTAGCTGCTGCCACTGTATATGAACAATATCTTAATAGCCACGTAATAAGAAAATTGACAGCTGAAGATTTTTGTTCCTTTCAACCGCCATGAAATGTTTAAGGTACAGTTTACTAATCAAAGTGATTCACTTTGGTCCCACTCAGACTAACTGGTCATTCATCAACTTGGTCAAAACTCAACTCTATTTGTCCAATCTAAAGCGTTACTTTCAAAAACAACCCCACTCCAAAATACCTGAAGCACCGTCTCACTTGAATGAACACAAATGAATGAATTTGAAAAAACAAAACTGAACATAAAAGAAAAGTGTCTGTCATTTGTTAATTATCACATTATAACCTATATAATAAATATTACAAATTCACTGTATGACCATGTTAAACCTTCAAATGAACCAATTTGGAAAAATGCACTTCATATAGAACAGTAGCCTTTTGCTCCATCAAGTTCTGAATAACCAGGATGATGAATGCAGTCTATGTTTGGGGTTTAAGGACTCCTGCTGACATCTGTGTTTACATTTTCACACACATAATGTCCCTGCTTTAAGAGAACAGTCTTAACCAGGCGTGTAAGAAGGTTTTATCCAGATTTAAGGAGACTTGAGACTATACTTTGCTTGTTTTGTCAGTTACTGTGACACATGCATCATCGTTCCATTCATCCATCCATCCAAACTTCAATGTATTTTTTGTGTGAGCATGTCTGCTAAGAATATACACGTTATTGCTACATGAACTCAGTGCTTTTTTCTTTATAACTTGTTTTCAAAAAGCTCAGAAGCTTTCAAAAAGCTCTCACACACTGTGTGCGGTTAACTAACCGCACACAGTGTGTGAGAGTGGGTGAGCACACTTCCTCCACTCTTTCCATCAGCACAGGGGCCCCACAAGGCTGCGTGCTCAGCCCAGCGTTTTATACTCTCCTCGCTCACGACTGCACGGCTTCTTCACCGTCAAATCTCGTTGTTAAATATGCTGATGACATCACATTGTTGGGGCTCATCAATGAAAACACCGAGACAGCATATAGAACTGAAGTACAACATTTAGTATCACGGTGTCACAAACACCACTTGGTTCTTTACATAAAGAAAACCAAGGAAATTATTGTAGATTTTTTGCAAACAAAATAAAAACATCTACTCTCCACTCTACATGAGAAACGAAGCGGTTGAGAGGGTCACATAATTCGAACTTCTGGGCCTGATAGTGACAGACAACCTGACCTGGGGTACCTACAGTGCCTCAGCCATCAGAAAGGCTCAGCAGCGTCTTTTCTTTTTGAGGAAATTGAAATGGGCCAGAAGTGATCAGCTTCTATAACTATGCTATTGGAAGTGTATTAACCTGTGGATTCCTAGTGTGGCTCTCCAGCTGCACTAAGGCAGACCAGCAGGCTCTCCAGCAAGTGGTTAAAACAGCTGGGAAGAACATCGGGATTACCATCCCGGAGATCAGAACGATCTATACAACCTGCTGTCTAAGACAAGTCAACAACATCCTGCGGGATAGGCACTATCCTGTGCATGGCTTGTTCCATCTGTTACCCTCAGGCAGAAGGTACCAGTCCATAGGTGCCAAGACCACTAGAATGACTCACAGTCTGTACCCACAGGCTGTGAGACTGTTGAACAAACATCATCTCTCTGAAACTCCGCCCATTATCCTTACATCTCAAATCTCATCATGACAATGACTGTGAAATGGATATTGCATTGTTGCAGCAACCAACTACTACCCCTTCAACATCTGTCTGTTTACGGTTTCCCCTTTTTCTATCTTGCTCTTAGACGCTGTATCATCTGTGTTTACATTGATCATCAGAATCTTGCAAAGTTTTTTCGTACCACTATGTGCTAATTTACAAACGTGTAGGTGCATGACACTCCATCAAAATTTCATTGTTGTCCATAAGTGTTGTTACTGTGGCAATGACAGTAAAGTAAAGTAAGGATATAACGTCTTAACGTTTTGATCTTCATAGCTATGATTTTATGGTTCAAAATATAAAAGGTTTAAGTCTTGTGTTTTTTGTTTGGCATTTTCATTGCTTCAGGATTCACTGGACTGTGAATAGTCATAGTGGAAGTCATCCATAGTGAAGCCTGACTGTTGTTTTCAGCAGATGACACTGTGTCCAAAAAACATCCTGTTAGTCAACCAATAAGCCACAGGAATGTGAGAAATATGATGCAGAAGTCAACAAAACAGACCAAAAAATGTTGGTTTTGGGTTCTACTTGGGTTGGTTGGATGTTTTAAAAGTCCATCTGGGAAAGGAAAACAAATATATATATATATATAAAGCAGATGTTGGTTTCTGAACCAAAGAAATTTAAGAGGCATCATTTTGTGATGCAAAGCATGAAGTAAAACAACAAATACGCATTGTTTTCTCAAGTTTATCTTTTTTATTTTCCTCCTTTAGCTCGTGGCAGCCATGTTGACAGCGTGTTTGAAGCTGCTGTTGTTCCTCCCCTTGGTTTGCTGTGTCCCCTCCTCCTCCTCCTTCAGACCTTCATCCAGAAATTGCAAACGATGCTGCGACCAACTCGATCCTCCAGCAGCCTCAGCTCATTATCAAATGCCTGAAGTCAGAACTGTTATCAACATGACCATCCTGAAAGGTACCAAGCTCAATTTGTTTCTGCACAGTGATGTTTGATGACTGTGTTATACCCATCATCAATAATATAAAAAGGTCAAATACCTGATTTTATATTTCTTTAGCTAAATACATTCTACATTTTAGACTGCACTTAAAAAAGAATACAGTGTTTGCATCCAGTTTACACAGTAATTTACTTTCACCTTGAATGTGTGTGACGTTCTCCCTTTTCTGAGCTACAATTTCTTAATCACTGCTTCTGTTTAACAAGCTGGTTGTGCGCTTAATCAGAGGTGTAATCATGGTTGAACAGCAGTGCCAGATGTAACGACACATTCATGCCGAAGTGAAAACAAGACAAGTGAGAGACACTGCTGAAAAGGAAATTAGACACTCCAGTGATATAAACAACCTGGAACCACTTTAAAATCAACTTCTCTTCAACATTTTGTGGGAAATCAGGCTGGCAAGTGCTGGTAGCCTTTCAGGCTTTTGACAGTATCCACCGTGTGAAACTCATCGACACATTTACATTCACGTGAGCCATTAAGTGAAGGAATGAATTTAAGAAAGAATAACATTTCATTTAGACAAGTCTAACCTAAAATATATAAAAGCTCAAATGGACCCATTTAGTCTGTTTTCAATTTGTCTGTCAATATGTCTGAGTCTTCATCTAAAGTCCACAAGACGTTAAAACATGCTTGTGTGTTTATTTGTTAGACGCCTGTGTGTGCTCGGGATTTCATGATGGATTTGGAATAGACTTAACGTAAAACTTACATAAATATTGTTTTGGATGGGAGTGTTTTGCACATGTTAAAAGTTTACTTCTGAGATTCCAACAGGAAGTTGGCTTGAAACACAGCAGTGAAGGTTGCCTATGGGACAGATCTGGTTGGCAGGCTGTAGACTGAGGAAGTCCTCTGGATCGGGGACGAAACATTTCTCACTTAAAGAAACTGGTCCAGATGACACGATTTAACCTTTTTTTTAATTACATAAATATTCATTGACAAGCAAGACTAAACCCAAATATTAGCTCATGTGTTTATTTGTTTGGTGAGTAAGTAAGTTGGTTTAAAATTTTAAATGCCAGACATTGATTTTTGCTTACCGTATTTTTCGGACTATAAGGCGCAATATCAATGAACAGGTATGTTTTCATACATAAGATTGTAAAGCGTAAGGCGCATTAAGCGAAACAAAACAGTCAGATAAGTCAGACTTTATTCAACTCATTCATAATAAGCAGATAAAATCGGTTCAAGGTCAGTAAGCACAACCAGAATTCATACATAAGGTGCACCTTATTATAAGGCTCACTGTCGATTTTTGAGAAAATTTAAAGATTTTAAGTGCGCCTTATAGTCTGAAAAATACAGTATATTGGGAGTTATATAGACCGTTAGCTTGTGTGCTTTACATCAACCTCACTCACGGCAGATCACTCTTTAGGTCACCTCATTAAGGGTGCATTCACACCAACCCTGTTTATTCTGCTTTAATTGAACTCTAGTCCTTTTGCTTAGAAAGTCTGGTTCATTTGGAGAGGTGTGAATGTGCAATCGAACTCTGTTATGAACCTAAAACGCAAACTCTGGTCCGCCTAAAAACCTAGGTCTCAGTTCGGTTGAAGTGAACTCTGGCGCCAATTAAATGCAGTGTGAATGCAAGTAGACCGGAGACCGCTCCAAAAGCAGGAAGTGAACTACAGCACAGGGCAAACAAACATGCATTACCTCATACGAAGCCATCAGCCGCCTTGTGTGAAAAACAACATTCTCCATGGTCATCTGCCTCATCTTCCGCTCATGCTGAGTCCATTGTTGAAAAATGACAAAACACAAATCCTAAAACCGCTAAAATTTGACGCCACTCCGGTTTTGGTTTTGTTTCCAGAAGAAGAAGAAGAAGAAGAAGAAGTGTCTTCTTCAGAGGTTTTTGTGTCGTTTCCTTCAGTAGTTTTTGGTGCAGCGCCACCACAGGCGGGGGGGACAGGTTGGCTCGATTGACTCTGCAGCGTGAATGCCAACCACACCAGCTGAAATGTAAAATAATGTTATGAATATCGGTCCCCAATTGAACCAAGTCTACCAGACCATCAGGTGTGACAACACCCTAAGGAACTGTTACACAACAGTTTTGTGATATAGCCACATAGATGAGCTCCTACGGCCCTACATGGTTTACCAGTCATGCCAGCCACATCTCGCAACAATGTGAGCTTTCATTAATGAAGCCAGCACTGCAAAACCAGCAGGGGTCTGGGGTGGCACTGACATGAAGTGCTCAGAGTGTCCGACATCCTCCTTTTGTAAATCCTGTGCTTCTCTTACAAACAAGGCTTTTCATAAAATAGTTCCACAACATGGCCATGCAGACCATTTTGTCTTTTTGCTCCTTCATGTATTGCCGTCATACTGTATGCTCCCTTACAATGACACAATTTGTGCTCGCATTTGACCCTTCACACATGAGCCTAGTGGAGCCATGTAAGCACACAGGGAGCAGTTAGGGAATTGGTGTTTTGCTCAAAGACACCTCGACATATGAGCATGGTGTGGAGTTGAACCTGTGACTGTCTGATCCCAAGTTAGCTCTCTTTAGAAATGATCTTTGTTGTTAACTATATATTTTTAAACTAAATACAAAGTTACTGTGCCTCATCGTCAATACTTCCTGGCAAATAAATCAGTTTGTTGTTGTTTGATCCATGACCAGCTGGTCGCACATCATCCCTTCATTACATTACTGCTCTATGGCACCGGCTTACATTTTCACATCGATCATTTCGCCTCTGTTACTACCTCACTTTCTGACATAAAGCCACACCAGTGATGGGCTGGCTTTGAGCCCCCTCTCCACCACGGTCCACTTAGAAGTCACATCTAGGCAACCAAAGGGCATCTAAGTCCTGGCCTGAGCTGTTTGTAAAAGAGCTTACAGACTGTCTGTCTTCACTACATTACACCAGTGAGCCGTGATGCAGGTTTACTCCTAACATATTAACAGTCATGGCTGTGGCACAATACTTTGCTTGGTGGATGAGAGTCATAATGGCAGTTCCATGCTCCAGTTCTTTCATAAATGACACCAAGAAAGGTAGAAGACATCTCAGCTACAGTATGAAATGGTTTGTGAAAGGGACTATTGCCATTAGTTGACAAATGTAAGCATCTTTTTAAATCCTATGAGTGTCTGTCTTTCCAAAAATATACGAACGACACATCCACAGCAACAACAAAGTAACAACAGTGATTCAAGAGATCAAAGCTCATGCTCAGAAATTCAGGTAAAAAAAATCCAACAAAGTTAAGTCAGGTCTGATGAAGTCCTTTGGATGAAGGACAAAATGTTTCAACAAAAAAATAAACTGTCCAGAGGACCTGACTTAACTTTGTTGGCTTGTTTACCTGGATTATTGAGCATGAACTTTGATGTTTTGAACCACTTTGGCTATGTCTGCCTCAGAGGAGTCGATGGTGAAGAGGGTGAATCCAGAAACAATTGTATCACCATCAAACTGGTTGGCCCACTATGTGAGTGTGCTGTTTGTGGGACTGTTTTTTGTGGCTCCTCGGACTGATGAAGTCCTTTGGATGAAGGACGAAACGTTTCAACAAAAAAAGAAACCATCCAGAGGACTTGACTGAACTTTGTTGGATTGATTCAAGAGAATGCAGAATTTAACATTTGATTTCAACTTTTACAGTTTAGTTTTAAGTTAAATTAAATTTGCAGCATGGTTAGAGTCACATACAGGATTAGAGTACATACAGGATTAACTTTGGCAAAACTGGGTTAAATAATCCAAGTGCAGTCACACCAAGCAGCCTTCAAAAGGTGCAGTAATAACCTGATGTTTTCTAATCTGAAGCCTGCTGTTATTAAATGAAAAACAATCTTAAAAAAAAAAAGTTTGGACTAAGTCCATCCTGATTCCTCCGTTGGTTCTCCTAGAAATTGTCTGGACCTGTAAAGACCTCTACTTTTTACACTTGGCTGGTTTAGCCACGGTAAGCCCTGCACTCGTTTGAGGTTATTTTTCTCATCAGGTTGCAAAGAAGCCTATAGAGAAGGAAAGAGTGGCTTTGAATTAATTGCGCTTGTATGTTTGAAGCATTATTTGGATTCGTAAGGCGTGTAAAAGCTGAAGAGGAGAGATAAAGAAGTGTAACCGGAGAAGGGAATTAAAACGACAGGATTTTTTATTTTTTTTAAGTAAGAAACACACAATCACAGCCAGAAGGGGATTTGCGAGAACGTGTATCCCATATCAGATGCTTTGAGCAGCCAACTAAACCTGAGTAGTTAAAATAATGTGCCAACACTTTTTGGATGAATATGTTGGTGTCATATTTGCAACGTTTGTGATTTTTTTTTTTTTCAGTCACTTAAGTATTCTTTTCAAGGATGGTTTTATTGTTTGTCCTTTGTGTTTAGTTGTGTTTTTTTCTTTTCTGTTGGATACCATTCAGTTTTCCAATGTTTCTTGTGCCAGTTTCTATTTACCCTCAGTATTCCTCCCTAGTGTTTTTCCAGTCAGCCTGCCACCCTCACCTGTCCCCAATCAGTGTCTCAACCCAGGTGTTTCCACTTCTCCTCTCACCCAGCTTGCTATTTAAACCAGCTCACCTCTCCGTTGGCTCCTTGTTCTGTAAACTTGTCAGATGTCTCAGTCCTCCTTATGTTTCACCATGTGTTGTTTTTTAAGTTGTTGCTGGCATGTCCGCCTTTTTTTGTTTGTTTATTTAATAATCCATTTTTTGTTTTACTTCGTGCTCCTCGTGTCCACCTGGGTCTAACCACACAGTTGGTTCTTTGCTAAGAGAACATCAACTGTTCTGACCCACAACCATCAGACAAATATTTATGGCAAAAGTTCATCCACGAATATTATTGGGTATTTATGGAAATATTTGGACTCGGTCAGATAAATATATTTTGATATTTTACATTGGTATAACGAACAAAACTTTAATTCACATTACCTCAAAGACTGACTTCATCCATCCATTATCTTTTAACATGCTTCTTTCTTTTTGGGTCGTTGGGGTCACTCACTGGTGCCCATATCCAGCAGTCACTCTGCAAGATGCATCCTGAACAGGTCTCCAGTCCATCACAGGGCCACATGGAGACAAATGAGACAACCATTCACTCTCTCACTCACACATGGGGACAGTTTAGTCACCAATCAGCCTAACATGCATGTTTTTGGTCTGTGGGAGGAAACCGGAGTACCCGGAGAAAAAACGCGTATGCACGGAGAGAACATGCAAACTGCATCCAGAAAGGCCCACTGGCTGGGATTCGATTTAGCAACCTTCTCACTGAGAGGCAGCAGCTCTACCAACTGAACCACCGTGCCACCCGAGAGTTCATTATGAATAAATTTACAAGTTTTACTTTATCATTCACAAGCATCATATTCAGCATAAATACATTTTATTTTTATTTTGGACATTTCAAAACAGTCAGAATTTGAGAATGAGTATGTATGCTATGTAAAAATATGAAGATTTTGCCTATGGTTGGGCTGCTGTTGTTACGCCGTATTGTTTTACATTATTAATGTTTGTTTGGCGTATGTCACAACTTTTAGCATACCATTTAGCGTTTGTTTAGCGCAGGAGTCTGCAACCTTTACGATCAAAAGAGCCATTTATGCCCCTTTGTTCACTAAATTAAGTGTTTGGAGAAACAACAATCTGGTACAACTGATCATCAACTGGTGGCCCGTGGACCACCTTAAGTTTGCTGAAGGGGGCTTTTCTGGCCAGTAGAATAACTTTTTTTTTTTTAATTAAAAATATCAAATGGTTTTTCACATTTGATATTTGTACATTTTAAGACAAAAGAAAAGACCAAATTGTTGTAAAGAGAGAAGAAAAAACACAGATTTTAAAAATTTTTTGTAAAATTTTAAACAATGACCTATACAGGATTTTATTTTTTATTGTGGAAAAGTTAAGTATCCTACTTTTTAAGAGATAAAGCATAAAGTGAATGTGCTTTACTCTTTGTATTCTATTTACATATTTGCAAAAAAATTTAAAAAATGACACGAAGTCTGTTTAAACTAACCTTTTTTTTTTAATTATTTTTGTATATCAACCAATAAAATTCAGTTTTGTTAGTTTTGCTCAAAGCTTGAAAGAGCCGCTGTAGATGGACCAAAGAGCCACTTGTGGCTCCAGAGCCGCAGGTTGCAGACCCCTAGTCTAGCATACATCTTAGATCCTTTATAGACAGTTTATTTTTACAATTTATATGATTGCTAATGTTGGGTGTAACTGGGACCCTGTGCACATAATTTCGTTCCACCTCATGTACCACATGTGGTGAGAACAACAATTAACCTACTTAAACTATAAGCTGTACATTAATAGATGCAACCTGGATTACTCCAACAATGTTGAGGGAGTAAATTTAGACAATATCACCTCCAATAATTATGACAGCTAATCTCTATTTGACAGAGAAGTTTGCAAGATGGGAACTAGAATCATGAACTGAGGCAGAGCAGCTGTAGAACAGCTGAGAATAAATAAAGATGAGTGATTGAAGATGTTCGAGGGACAAGGTCTTCACACAGCAGGTGTTTTATACTGAAGTCAGTCAGCTGATAGAAGAGCAAATCAAGATGGTAAATCACCATCTGGAACTGAAAGCAGGGCGACACAGTTTCCAGACGTAAGTGAATGAAACAGAGTTCAAGGGCTGGGGCAGGGATTGGAGGCTGGAGCTCCTTGGCAAGGCAGAAGCAGTCTGGAAGTAGTTATAGAGCAGAAGGAAAGCCCTCGGAGTCAGAGCGAGGGGAAACTGGTTCACTGTAAGTAATTACAAAAAGTTGGAAAGGCTGGCTGCAGTGTTTCTGGCTGCGTAAGATCTGTGTTTTGACTTTGTGCAAAACTCAACATTTCTGGTGCAAAGATTCGGAGTCTGAAAATGAATGAAGAATTTGTTCCGTGTGAATGAGCTTTTTCGTTCTGTTAAACAAATCTGCCTGAGAAATTCGTATTTTGCATGGGTAGAAAAATATCATTATTAGATTAATCATGCTCTGTCCAAGGTGTACCTTGCTTTTCATTTGGTGATATTTGGAACAGATGCCAGCCACTGTGCAGAATAAAGGGGGTGAGGGTGGAAAATATAATGAACGAGTGAACGAGTACAAACTTTTCCTACAGGCATGGGACTGGTTTTTCTTCTCATGCATAAACTTGGATTTCAAAGATGGATTTACTTCATAAGATGACTAAAGCTAATTTACAATTTTGACCTCTGGCATTATTTATAAATAATTTTACAAGCTGAGAATACTAAGGGCTCTTTAGAGCCAATATGTAGAGAACAGGACAAGTATAAACATCTATCCGTGTGTCGATGCCATCAAAGCCCGTGATCCTAAATCCAGCATAGAATTCATATATACAAAGGGTTTTGTTTGTTCTTTCCCTTTTATTTATTATATATATATTTTTTTTTGGTGCAATAAATTAGAACATGTTTAACGAACATGACGACTTTTATACCATTTTTATTCTAGAGCCTGACCGATATGGAAACTTTGACTATTGCCAATAATGATATTGGGAGGGGAAGGGTAATGCCATAACCAATATACTGACTGAAAATCTTTTAAACTTTGTCCGCCCCCAAGAAGCTAAGTTAGCAGCTACTGTTAAACCTGTTAACATTTGAAGTCTTGAAACAGTCTTAAAGTGCATTCACATTTTCTGTCCACCACTGTTCACCATAAAGATATCAAGTGTGTTGGAAAACTATAAATTCAATAAAGAAACGTCTTTCCCTGTTCATTGTTTAAACAGTCACGTATGGTGAAGGACTAATCAGTACTGACCGCAGTGGCATTTTCTTTGCAGAGACGTAAAGATTTCAGACAAAGAATACATTTCATAGAAGACGACAAAGACAATGTTACTAACACATATGTTTTACCTCTATGTTAGATTCATTATTCTGGCTAAAGTTTTACAAGGGCAATAGCCTATGCTAGGTTATCTAAACATTAGCTTGCTAACTTGAGATGTACGTAGCTAACGACAAGCGGGTTGGAGGATTGAAGCAAATGTATTATTATTGTTTTTATTTTACAGATCAGTTACAAGAAACTTATCATGCTCTGTTCAGCAAAATATGTACAGTTAGTTGTTGCCTGCTTCCGCTGTGCTGAAAGTGAAAGTTAAATGAACAGCCATGAAGTCTTCATGTGCCCTCTGCTGGATACATTGTACAATTACAGCTGGTTCCAGCATTTTAGGTGTGAAAATTAGAAGTGTTTTTATATCGGCACATAATGGGACAATTATCACTGATACCAATATGTCCCCAAACGCCTATGTGGACCTAAAACATCAGACATACCGATATATCAGTCGGGCTCTACTTTATTCATCTAACAAATACAATGTAATACATGCATCTCATAACCGACTTCAGACTGATGAAAAGTTATTGAAAACTTCCCTTTTTAAAGCAACTCATTTGTCAGGCTTGGATTTCTGTTTTTATCTTAATTATATTAATTGTGTATCTTCAGGAGATAAAGGGGACAAAGGAGACAAAGGAACACCTGGCAAACCAGGATTGGAGGGCCCTCACGGCTTCCGAGGACCCATAGGAACTAAAGGCAGCAAAGGCCAGGCAGGTGCACCTGGAGATCCCTGCAAGATCCCTCAATCTTCCTTCTCTGTAGGGCGTCGCAAGGCCCTGCACAGCGTGGACTACTACCAGGCACTGGTTTTTGACACGGTTTTCGTCAACCTACTTGAGCACTTTAACATGTTCAAAGGCAAGTTCTACTGCTATGTACCTGGGATTTACTTCTTCAACGTCAACATCCACACCTGGAACTTCAAGGAGACCTACCTCCACCTGATGCACAACGACAAGGAGCAGGTGATCCTTTACGCACAGCCTAGTGAGAGGTCCATCATGCAGAGCCAGAGCGTCATGCTGAATCTAGCTCTGAATGACGAAGTCTGGGTCCGTCTGTACAAAAGGGAGCGTGAGAACGCCATTTACAGTGACGATGTGGACGTATACATCACCTTCAACGGATACCTGGTGGCACCGAGCAGCCAGTGAAAATGTGACTGTGGGAATTAACTAAAATCACTTAAAATAAAAATCCAAGAAATGGCTGTTAAGTATTTAGCTTTGAAACAAAAGTGGTGTTTTCTAAAGGGGGGGCTGGCAAAAATGGGTTAAAGGAACAATAAAAATGGAATATAGCACATTATTAGGGAAAACAAATAAAATACTACTATTGCACTAGAATTACATTTTTGTACAAAACAAATATTTTTGAAAACCAACAAAAACAAGCTCCATTATAGTTCTTTGGAAGTGATCATGAATCTGTGGGTAATGCATCATTAGTAGCGCATACCTGGCATATTAAAAGTTTTTATTAATTCAATTTCCAGTGGTGGACAGTAACAAAGTACATTTACTTGAGTGCTATACTTAAGTACATTTTATGAGTATCTTTACTTGAGTATTTGTGTTTTTGGGAACTTATGACTTCAACTCCACTATATTTCAAAGACAAATATCGTACTTTCGACTCCACTACATTTCTAGGAAGCTTCTTGTTCCTTCTGGCTCAGCTTTGTAATCCACTGTTGCTGTTTTTTTATTTCCTTAAATGCAGTTGTCTAGTTGTTGTTTCAGGTATTATTCTAGATTCATCTGTGCAGAACATTCATTGTTTTGTAAGCTTCTATGTTAAGTATGGCAGTACTTTCAGTTATCAGTGGTACTGTTTCCTCTCCTGCGTTTAGTTGCTGCTGTCAATATATGTACTCTTACAGACAAACAATACAGTGTATGAATACTGAAGCTGAGGAAAAGACTAAATGTGCATCATCTGTTAGGGTTTCCATGACTTTCCACAAACATGTAAAATGCAGGAAGATATTTGTAGTTTACAGGTTTTATTAATGCATGGGGTGTCAGAGTGGTTCTACATGTCAATACATCATCAGGTGGTTTCAGAGTTACATGGTTCTGTAAAATCACTCGGAACAATACAGCAATGTACTGATATTAGAAAATATAATTTGTACTTTTTAAATATTTGAGTATTTTTTAAAATGCATGTACTTTTGAATACTTAAGTATTTTCAAAAGTAAGTACTTCAGTACTTTAACTTGAGTAAACTTCTTACTGAGCAACTTTTACTTGTAGTTGAGTAAGATTTGACCAGGAGTATCAATACTTTTACTTAAGTACTAGAATTGAGTACTTTGTCCACCACTGTCAATTTCACACAGTAGTACATAATGAACTGACCATAAAAGAGCCAATGAGTCCAAATGAATATTACTGTGCTGTATTTTCCAGTGCACACTCAAATCAGGGTTTTGAGACTTTTGACTATTAAATGTCATGAATTTTAATAATGCAGACTACAAACTGCAGAGCAGTTTATGTAAATAATTGTATATTAACTTCTTAATGGCTTTCAAAATTGTTACCACTGTTGGTGCTCTAAATAACTGTTAAACATGTTTTTTGCTCCATGTTGAGTCTTTGTGTTCTGTGTCGGCAAGCACGCAATTATTAAACAATTTAAGCTTTTTTTTTTTTTTTTTGTCATTTCACTTAATTGAAAGTGTATAAGTTCTGATATTTTATTTTTAATAACACAGTGCTTGCATGAAATAAATACATTTTACATTTCTATTATAAAAGTTTCCTCACATCTATTTCTTTACACTATCCAGCTCTGTTATGGCTCACTATGAAGCCTAATGCTGTGAGGAAAAGGGAGTTTGAAATTTTAACCTTATAAATTGGTAGTTTTTCCTAAAATAAACAAACAAAAGCTCATCTCAAGCTCCCAGGAACAGAGGACGAGGCAGTAGCTCCATCTGTTTGGCCGTATCTCTCTCATTAGCTGTAATTCCATCCACAGGGAGGCTTTGCAGAAAAAATAAAGCTAAATAAATAAATATAACATGCACAAACTGCAGCAATGTAAATACTTTAAGCTCTCTGAGGAGATCTGTGAAGCTCTGTTGGGACACAAAGCAGGGCATCTTTTCTGCTTCATCAGCTCAGGAAGCTGTTCCAACATAAAGTGAGCTCTGATTTGTCACTGAAAACCTTTAGCGTGATTATTTCTAAAGGACGGATACATGATGCTGTTTTAGGCAGGTCTCTATATAAATCATTGTGTTAGTTGCATGTGCTTTAACCATAAAAAAAAAAAAAAAAAAAAACATAATAAAATTTAATGGTTTTGGGGACTTTATTTTTTTATTTTTTATTTTTAAAGTACAGAAGTTGATGCAAGTTCATGAATAACAGCCTGCTCTGAACAAACTGCCTGTCGTTCAAAAACACTTGTTGACATTTTTACAGTGGTGTTTAAAATGGAAAAACTTTTAGCCAAAGCCCTGCATGGATACTGGGACTGGTCTGCAGGGACATCAGAGTTTGAACTAAATTAGACCTAGCTTTGTATAAAGATATCTTAATCTTTATTCAATTGAAATCCTTTGTCATTTTCAATTTTATGAGTTTGAAAGTGTAGCGATTTTAAGGAATGTTACTTAATTTTTTTCCTATCAATCTTTTTCTTTTTTGTAGGGAAAATACCCACATGTGTTTGTTTGAGTTCATCACTTCAGACCCTCTTTCAAAATGCGGAAAAGCAGTTCCCAGTTTACAATTTTTTTTCCTTTTACTTGCAAATCATTTACATCTTTCATGATGCCCATAGCCTAATGATTTGTTCCACAGCTTTTATAAGAAATAATTAGTGAATGTTTCACTATAATGTGACCAAAGTGGGTGATTTATTGTCTAAATAAGTTGGTTCCTAAACTTTTATTAAAGGGTGAATCAACTAATTTGCTTACAGAACATCAATGACACGTTAATGTCCGACACAGTTCTTGGGGCAGAAAGATGCCTGTAAGGTCCTGTTCTGAGCAGTTGGATGAGATATTGCTTATATCAATCACACAGTCCCCAAATTTAGGAAAAAATCAATCCCAATTTGATTAAAGTCTTCAAAGGTGTCCTGCAGCTCTTATACCTCTGTTGTGATGGACAAACTATAAGGTTAAAAACTCACTGCTGGATTCACTCCAGTTTGCATAAAATAAGCAGCTGGAGAGTTGAAGATATTGTTTTTATTTAGACATCATCTAAAGACAGGCATTCCAAAACCATTAGAAATAAAATCTGATTTCTCTTTGAATATGTTTGACCAAGACTCAGTGCAAATAGCAGCTTAACTTAGAGGAGAAACCCATCAGCTGTCATCAGCCTGTGGCTTACAGACTTCTGCACCGACAGGGTCAGGTGGGTGTTTGTTACCAACACATGCTCTGATGTTCTCTCAGCTCATCTGGCTCTCATCTGCCCCTCTCTTTTCATCTTTTACCATGATGACTGGAGATCCTTGCAGCCAAATTGTCATATGGTGAAATATGCTGATGACACAGTCCTGCTGTCTCTGCTTTCAGCTTTCAGCTCCCATTCAGCAATTAGCTGAGAGAGCTTGTTGAAAAAAGAAAAACCTCTGTATTAAGAGCACTGGAGAATAAAACTACAGGTTTTTCTAACAAACGGATGCAGTAGGATGAGGTAGGCTCTAATGTACCTCGATCCAAGGAAAACCAGAGGCGGAACTAACAATAAATACATGCTGAAGATCTTCTCTGACTCTGAGGGAATATAAATGTCAGGAAACATGAAATTGTAGCAGGAAGCTGAATCATTCGAGGCCAGTAAGGAGAATATGATGGGCCTCTTTACAGCTTCAATGAAAATTCAATTCAATTCAAAAATACTTTATTAATCCCAGAGGGAAATTATTTGTTGTTGTAACTCATTATCCTCATTTCATTAAGCGATGTTATAGACATTGATGGCTGTAAACAGGAAGGATCTCTTGTAAAGGTCCATCCCACAGTGGATTCTAAGAAACTGGCTGCAGATGCCGTCTGATCTGTCCACCCAGACTCGGCTGGCGTCTCGGTTCCCCTCGGGCTGTAGGACCGCCCAAATGCCAGGCAAAACTCCTCCCAGAGCGATGGCCACTCCTCCCAGCAGTCTGCCGAGCTCCTCGTCACTGCGGACAGCCAACTGTAGGTGCCGAGGGACGATCCTGTCCTTCTGCTGTCACGAGCCGTGTTTCCTGCTAGTTCCAGGATCTCAGTGGTCAGGCACTCCAGCACAGCTGGCAGGTAGATGAGAATGCGTCCACAGAACATCCTTTTCAACTCACTTGAGATTTGGGGCTGTAGTTGAGATATTATTTGAGCTTTTGATATGTTAATCAGCTGCTGTTGGTTGTAGAAAACAGCCTTGTTGCCATGGTTACACATCATAACAAATGTCCAAAAATAAAAAAGTTTCAGTAAAAATCCTTCCAGCTGCACAGCATCTGATACCAGAGGAAACAACCATGCAAAAAACGTGATTTACATCCAGAAAAAGAGGAATTAAAGTTTCCAAAAGCAAAATCTCAAAATGAATGTAACAGAGCTGCTCCAACATGCAGCCACCTTGAGCGGCGCAATTCTAGAAATGCAATGACATTCACCTTTATCTGCTGGTTTCACCTCATCGACCTGCAGAACAGAGCATGTCCACTGAACACAGTGCTAACGTCCGCACTGAAACGACTCCACACCCTGTAGGTCTCCATCGTATGCACACAGCAGAGGGTGAAATCAGTTTGCAGCGTTTCACACAATCTCCTTCATGTCCCGTTTCCTCTGTCAGAGTGGCTCCCTTCAGGATGCACACTTTACTGCAGGAGTTTGAGATAAGGGCACCAAGTTCCCACGTTTGCTCCGTTACTTAACCTCCATCATAACTTATTGCTAATTGTTTTCTACTGTTATCTATTTTACATTCCAAGGTCTAGAACTTTTTTCTTCTTTTTTTTTTAAAGGAATTAATATTGCCCACTGCCTTTCACGACAGAATTTTAAACTAAATGATTTTAAACTTTATGCCTTATCTCATGCATTTTTGTGTGTGTGAAGATTTCAAGCTCTGTCGTGAATGATCTCAGCAGCTACATCACATTTCACCTCTGTATTTGTTCAATTAAGTTGTTGCCATTTAAGTATTGATTCATGTTGATTAGCTTTGATTAGCTTT